GTGCCAAAGGGACATTTGGTGGTACAGGGCCCACCCCGGCATCCTCATAGGGCCAGCCCTGCTCACCGGTGACGTCACCGGCCTCCACTGAGCCACAATGACCACAACGTTTAATAATAAAATGGTCAATACACTTTTTCTGGCATAAGGTATTCCAACGGTTCTAATGTAATTTTGGGGTGCTGATTCCAAATCTGGCATCAGTTTTTGTCTAACACGTCAGGTTCTTGAGATATCAAATATTGAATTTTCAATAAAAACTGCGGAAGAAAAATATTAAATAAATGTGGATATCTACATAAAATGATATTATAAACACACTATCCTAAAAATACAGCACCATATTTTAACACTAAAGCAGTCACTGACTCGCAACAACTTGCAATCATAAGTGACAGAGTTAATTTCGGGTAAAATCAATGAAAACGGGTATGCCGATAGCATAAAAATGAGATGTGATAGAGCAAATCTGAGATCAGATTTGGAATCAGCACCCTGAAATTAGTCTAAAACAGCTGCAAAAGTCCAGGCCAGAAAAAAAATGTTTTTTTGTTGACCAGTTAAATATAATGGTGCTGTCCACATACATGCACGGCCCATTGTCATTCTACTACTGGATGAAGGCTTCCCCGTGCCATGCAATGCGGGTTGTCGAGGTTATGCCGACTCCACTTTTGGCATGCTGATCATTAGGGGTTGGTGAAGGTGGGGAGCATATAAGTACAGGACAACAATGGATTTTTAATTCACTCCACTCAGCTGCTCACAATGTAGCCCCATCACTTGTAACACCTGTTATGCATAAGAGTCATCTTTCCCCAAACACTATCCAGGTTCAAACATGCTGATCTTCTGACACCTGCTGAGATCAGGCGCTTTCTGGGTGAGTTTGGCCATGGGCTTAATCGTATGAGAGTACTTTGTATCTTTTGTTTATAACCCGCTTAAGCAGCGTTATCAATCTCGCCGTTCTGTACGTGCTTGCAACTTTCAATGCCCCCCCCCCCCCCCCCCAACAGATGACTCGAGGTCTTTTGCCTTCTCGGAAAACCACACTCTGTGTTGCCTTGGAAGTGGCATGGCTGGGTGCGCTGATGAAGGTGAAACACATCCATGCCTCCAAAGTCGCTGATTATTACCTAAAGCCAATCTCACTAATTACCTTTTGTTCCCCTCTCCAATTAACAGCAGAGGCGCACTGGGGGTTAAATGCCATGCCAGCTGGACGCAGCTCAGGACGCAACAGATTGTTTTTTTTTTCCACTGCAGAACCTAAGTCATGCTGCTGATGTTACATGTGTAAAGAGATGTTCTGTCAAAAATAATTGGCTAAAGCGATGGGGCTCTAGGGGAAAAGTCTGCACCCACATACGTAATGGACAACATGTGTGTACAGGCATTTGATGAGTGGATTGGATAATTGGGAATTAATCGGAGGGTTGCGGAACTGGCTGGGACTATATAAGGACAGAGCAGGGGGCTGTCAGTGAGTCTTCTGATTCCGAGGCTGGAGTTGCTGTGGCTGCTTATTGTGGTGGTTGAAATAACGAATATAGTCTACAATCTCGACTTGGGGAAATCCTTTAAAGTGTAAAGAATTGTGTGACGTCAGCATCACGCATTCAAGTGTACTCGCCGATGCCAAGTGCAATGGAAATTATTAACCCAGTTTCCTGGCCTTTGGTTGGATTCAGATGTCTTTTGAGGCCAGAGTTTCACAGATTTAATGGGCAAATGCTATTGGCAAAACCACCTTTGAACCGCGAGGGTCCCATGCAGATTCAGCTTGGATGTACGAGTGGTAAAGGAGTTAAGACCGTCTCTGGGGACAATTCATGAACGGGGCGATTTCTGAATCGCCCCGGAATTCAAGCGTCAAAAAATATCTCTCCAGGATAATCATTCCACATTAATCGTGCAAAACTTGGTACCAAGGTTTGGTTACTATTTTTTTTTTTGGCTAGGAAAGGGTAGAGCATCATTCTTCACTGAACCTGACGGTTAAGAATCGGCGAGGGGGAGGAGAAGGGAATTCTATCATGGGCATCATGATACCATAAAACGAGCACCGCCCACGGCTCGTGCTGGACATTTTTAGAAATTCTATGGCTCTGTCTCCAGCTCCACCCTAACCCACGCCCACCTTGATCCGTTCCACCATTGCAGGCTGCGCCACGGCAAAATGCGGTCCAGTGGAAACGGAATGAATGGCCGATTCCAAAAGTTGGCCGAGTTTCCACAAAAACAGCAGTTATTCCACCAAAACGGGGTGGAATAACAGTCTAAAGTGCTTCGTGAATCGAGCTCTTTGTCGGGCAAAAGATCAAGCTAGGTTCGTTAGTTACTGAATTTCAAATTCGACGCAGGAAAGACGTTACTTTTATGAATTGAAAATATGTATCCTTTTTTTTTTTCATCCATTCACTGCAGCTCCATGATACACGCCTCAAAGAGCGTGCGTGAGAATCAATATTTTTGGATTTGTATGCTTTACATGCCGGGCTACATAGAGGTTGAGCACAGGACGGTACAGCAAAATGAATTGTTGTGCTGTATTTCTATGCTCCCGCGTCTGTGGTCCCTGCGTTGACTGAGCAGAGCTGACCGGCGTGGTGGTGAAGAATATGGTCACGTAATCCTCCACGGTCTGCACGTCGTGAGGAAGCCCTCATCCAGCAGTGGACTAACAAATGTGTCACATGTGTGTAACTATATTGATGTAGAGACAATACACAGCCTGGTACAGTATGGCAAGCTAAGAATCCAAAGTTATTGGGTGGTGGTGGAAAACCCCAACACATCACATTGCAGAAGAAGAAAAAATGTAAAGCTAAGAATACAAAGTCTTTGGGTGCTGCTGGTGGTGGTGGAAAACCCAACACAACACATCACATTATAGAAAGTAAAAAAACACACGTGATCTGTCACTTGAGTCTCTCCTCTCCAGTAACAACAACAACAACAACGTATGTTGACGTGTTACAAAACCACGGCAGCCCGGCATCGCCATCATCAGCCGTGGTGTTAGCAGACGCGAATTTTGTAATAAACTTGCTAAGGAAGTTTTGCCCAGTTGTGCTCAGGATGAATAACGAGAAAAAACAAACGTCGCCAAAGTAAAGACGCCACACAAGTTCGCTGGAACAATTGGAGAGAGCGTTTGCAGGGGCACAATGGGAAATATCACGCCGAAATCATGTGCGTACTTGTCCCAACGCACGACGCGGTCTGAAGCCTCAACAGACTTTTGGGGGCGAGTGCTGTTAAGCGAGCGATCGCCTGTGTGGAAGGGGATGTTCGTTTTCGAGGCCGAGCCGACCCAGGGGAGGACCGGTTCAATTAATCGTAAATGGCGTTGTTGGAACCGTGAGCAGGAATCGAACTCGGGTTGTTCCACAGCACTTGTATCCATCTACATTTACAGAGGTGGGGAACGTTCGGCCGTATCAGGTCCGCGAAATCATTTGGTCTCTGGCCCTGGCCAAGGCAACCGCAGGCGGGACTCGAAATTCAATAATTCTAGGAGCAAACCTGGAAAAGCAGTTGCGAGTAGCAGCAACATCATCAATACCAGCTAACATCACACGCCTCACCAAAGAGAAGCAGTTCCAGCCATCACATTAGGGGCGAGTTAATTAAATGTTTGACCAAATATAACAGGTTCATTTTTAAGTTGATAATTTTGTATGGCCCTCGAATGAATGATGTTATAACTATCCAAATGGACTTGGCAGAAAAAAGGTTCTCCACCCCTGATCTACAAGAACTTCTCGACGAAGACGTCTCAAAGGTTGTTTTGGGGGGGGGGGGTTCGTTTGACCATCAAGTTGACAGCGACGGGCTTAGTCGTTGCGAGTTGATAAGAGGATGATGAGCCGCCGGTGGGATCTGGGGGACGGCAACACCTGCCTGCCCGCTCGGATGTAACTCGCCGCTGACGTGAGCCAGCCGTGGCCAGGAATCAAACCATCTCTCTCAACCCGTGATCTCTGAGGTCGATAAAACGGTTACTACTTTGTGAGAAGTCAATGGGAATGTCTCATTTCTGGCGCTCGCTCTGGCTATGTGCTTACACGCACGACAGTACACACACACACACACACGTGTACAACTAGGGAGAACAACCACAGCACACACACATACAGGACGTGTTACTGTGACAATTAAAGCTCAAACTCACACGTACGCACCCTCTGCCTGGAAAGCACACGTCGTAAGTACGAGCATTGAGCGGAGCACACATAGACTGACAATCAACACAAGTCTACAATTACTCACAACGCCACGTCTCTTTTATACACGATGCATATACACATGCAGCAAGCATGCTCTCTGTGGGCTGCAATACTCACACGTGTACGTGCTAAGGCACACACATACACAAGTTCACATACTCGTTCTCCCAAGACGTCTGGCCTGCGTGGAAGAGTAGGCTAAATACCGTCTAGAGAGGGGCTCACTCGCTCCCTCTGAAGCTCCATATAGTGGGAAGGCCCTTCCGCTGGCAGTAGCATGAACAAGAAATTGCAGGGCTGCGCCTTAACCTTACACATACATCTACAGCACTTGCATAGCGCACGCACACACGTGCATATATGTACATGTGTGTACACATAACGAGGCTTTGGTATCTACATACCATATGGAGAACACTCTATACTTCTCAGCAGTATGTATATATCACGCTTACATCACGAATTTCAACACACATAAAGCGAATGGAATACATGTAGTAAACACAGATCTTAACACAAGAGAGTATTTGTAGTACTACTAGTACTGTATACGACTATCCCAACACACACACAACCATTAGTACACATGGAAAGTATGTCCGATAAACGTACACGTGTTTTAAACACACACACACATACTGTGCTCGTGTACAAAAGTGACACTGTTACACGTACATCGCAACGCACACGCCGAATCATTGAGTCCTTTACGCGTGGGTGGAGGAGAACACACGAGCGAGACACACAGACAACCAGAGTACTCACCAAATACGAGTCCCTTTAAACAGCCTGTTGAACTCTTGAGTGAGTCCACTGGTGCTGATGTCTTCTCTTCTCTCTCTGTCTGTCTCTCTCTGTGCCTCTCTCGCTCTGCTTCGCTCGCTCTCTCTCGCTTCCTCCTCCTCCTCCCTGAGACTGCCAGGGCGCGTGCCGCAGGGATGATTGAAAGGGGTGGTGGGTGGTGGTGGGGAGGGGGGTCAGAGTTGTGGGGTAGGGGAGAGAGGAAGAGGGGAGGAGGTTCGTAAGAGAGGGGGAGGAGGGTTTGTTTGTTGGTGGGTGGGTGGGTGGAGGATGTCAGAGCAAGGGAAGAGAGAGAGAGGAGAGAAGGGAGGAGGAGGGGAGAGACGAAGAGGGTGTGGTTGGAGATGAGAGAAGGGAGAGGAGGAGGAGGAGTGCTGGGGGTATTTAAGGAGGGATGGGGAGTTTTTGGTGTATCTCTGAACTTTGTGCCTGTGTCATCACGCTCTTGTTGTGATGTATGTACGGACATTTTTATAAACTTTTTTAGAGCTTCTAGATTTGAAGCTTTCGTGACTGCAATGATTCATACTCTTAGGTTTTTCGGTAAAGTCACGTAGGTAAAAAATAAAATTAATAAAAGTAATAATAGAAATTAAAATTAATAAAAGTAATAATATTATTTTATTTTATTTCTATTATTACTTTATTTATTTTTTACCTACGTGACTTGTTTAGAGCTATATGTGCAGTACGTTGTGTAGAGGGGTGCAACAACATCAAGTAGTATTTTACTGGACCTGTCTGGTCCCACATCTTAGCTCACTTCACCAACCCGCACTCACCAGCGTAGTGAAGTATGGTCAAATAATCATCACGTCGAACCTGGACGCCGCGAAGAGGATGTCAGTGGATTGACAACATTGTACAATTAAGTACAAGTGAGCGGTGTCATGTCAAACATGCCAGTGCAGTTATTGCCATATTTATGTACGATACTCCCAACAGTGGGATTTCGGCGTTGGATTCTACAGCCACATTTTTCAAATTATATTTTTCCTTTCGTGTGTTTGAGAGAGAGAGAGAAAAAAAAAAGTGTGTATTTCAACTTCAAATCCGGATTTGTTCAAACTTCAAACATCGAATTATTCAGAAAATTCTAACACCGAATGCCACATCGTAGGAGACAATAATACACTGGCAGGGCAGTAACAACACAAATAAAACAAACCCCAGTAATTTGTTCATAAACCACAAAAGTTGAGTTACGCACGCGGAGATTTAAAAAAAAATCTGCTGAATCGTTTTATATTTTTTGTACAACAGCCTTTTACGGACCCAAAACACGCCGCCTTAATCATTAACACGCCTGGTAACAGTACACTAGTTTATTGCTGTTTTGCTGGTAGGAACCTCCTGGTTCCACCAGCCCACAGGGGATTATTGTGTCCGTCCATCCGTCGTGCATCCAAAAATGGGAGGGATGCGGCTGGGTGGAGAGGGGAGGGTGGGGAGGGGCTGGGTGGGGAGGGTAGGGTGGGGAGGGGCTGGGTGGAGAGGGGAGGGTGGGGAGGGACTGGGTGGGGAGGGTGGGGAGGGCTGCGTGGGGAGGGCTGGGTGGGGAGGGGAGGGTGGGGAGGGGCTGGGTGGGGAGGGTGGGGCTGGGTGGGGGGAGGGTGGGTGGGGCTGGGTGGGGCTGGGTGGGAGGGGTGGGGCTGGTTGGGGAGGGGCTGGTCACCCCGTGGTGCCCTTATAAAACTCAACGTTTAACCTACTCACGCCGGCTTGTGCTCGCCCTCACAGTCGGCCATATTTGCGGAATACACCACGCCGTCGTTGACCCTGGCCATTGACCGAGCTATTACCCGAAACGTTATCCTACTCCAGTACAGCTACGATTATCTTTGACCCTATTGTCCACTCTTTGCCATTGTCCGCGCGCTCGGGTCGATGCGGGCAACTTCCTTTTTATCCACGAGTTTCGTCTTCCTCTTATCGGTTGCGAGATATTAACTACCTCGCCTGGTATGCAGGCAGCCGTGGGTTCGATTCCGGCCCTGACGCCTGTATATTTGGAGCTTGCATGTTCTCCCAGTGGTCGCGTGGAATTTTCTCCGGGTCTCCAGTTTTTCCCTCCACATTTAGAAACATTAATTTAGTGTTTGGCTGCTAAAAATGTCCACGTGATCTGCGGATGTCACCCAGAAGCGCCCTGCTGAAAGTACGTCATGCACCCGAATGTCCGTGATAGATTTGTTTTTCAAGGATACTAAGAATTGCCCCACGAAATCACCATCGCATCCAAGTTCATTCATTTCACGAAGAGAAGCACAGAGAGTTTATGGATAAAAGGATTGTCCAATAGTTTTTCCATATCGCGGATTATAAGAGTTTTTTATATATTGTCCTGGTACAAGTCAGTACAAATGACGAACGCGGTCCCTAAGTCACTGATGATGCAACCCATTTAAGATGTATTTGTTCCTGTTCATAGAAACTTTGCCAGATAGGAAAACAAAAACGCAGGAGGGTCGTGAGACCCGTCCAAGCAAACAAATGACCACCGGATGCGCACCGACTTTTGTCGAGGACATCGTCCCATATACAAACATCGACAGTAAATTTTACTTGTAGCTCCTGCAGCCAAATTTTGTGGCGTCGTGGGGTACAGAATTATGGTGAACAGTGGCGTTTGTGGTTTTCGCACAACGCTGCGTTTTCGGGGGATCGTGGCCCATACAACTGGTCATAGGCAAATGAAAAACAGGGGAGCATTTAACTTAGAATTGGTCAGGGTAGGGAGCCGACAGCATGGATTGCTGGGGGAAGGAGATTTCTAAACTGCGGGAACATCAGATGCGTACGAGTGACTTTCCACTGAGCGAAGGTTGACGGGCTTCGACGGGAAATTACGTAAAGTGATTCATGTGACCGCCTGCAGGGTCCTACAGAGATAGTGAGTCATGAGTCTGAAATCACGGAACATGTCTGTGACGTTGTAGACTCCGTTGCAAAATGTGCATGTTTTATAAAATGGTTCTAGAGCAGGGTTGGGGAACCTTTTTGTCTGCCAAGGGCCATTTGGATATTTATAACATCATTCGCGGGCCATACAAAATAATCAACTTAAAAATCAACCTGTGATATTTGGTCAAACATTTCATTAACTCACCCCTAATGTGATGGCTGGAACTGATTCTCTTTGGCGAGGCGTGTGATGTTAGCTGGTATTGATGATGTTGCTACTCGCAACTGCTTTTCCAGGTTTGCTCCTAGATTTATTGAATTTCGAGTCCCAAATGCGGTTGCCTTGGCAGGGCAAGACCAAATTTAGATTTTGCGGGCCTTATACGGCCCGCGGGCCGGACGTTCCCCACCCCTGTTCTAGAGGTACGACTCAACCTTGTTCAATGCACTGGTCGGAGGCAGAGGGAAATCGGAGTCTGTATTGAACGGGTGCAAGGGAGTCGATAATGTGTCTTGCTGGGAGAAGGATCTTCAAGAATATACAGAAGCTGCCGAGGAGAGCCAGCGACGGTCTCACTGAGTGAAGGTTGACTTGAGGGCTTCGAGAGGAAATGACTGCAGGTGTTCTGTGCGTAGTCCTAAAGGGTGAGTCACAAGTCTGGACCCGTGGGGCATTTCTGTAAAGTTGAAGACTCACCTGCTCATAAGCAAGACGTGTATTTATAGAATGGCTCTTGACGTATACGACTCATCCTGAAGTACCCGAATGCACTTCCTCCCGACGTATGGTTTGCATAAAGGACGAGCTATGAGCTAAGTGCTGACGCATTCACCACTGATGAGACAATTCATACTCGGTTAAACCAAAAGTATTACGTACATTCGGCAAATTACCGGAGTCAATTACAGGATTACAGGGACGTGTATTTAAACATGCGACAAACATTGCACTTAATACTCTGTTTACAAAATTACAAATCTGCTGTAGTTTATTAACCCGAGCCATGTGTATATATTTGTCCTTAAAGATAACATAAAATGCCTTCTGAAGTATAGTGTATCTTTGTTAAATGTTGTTCATTTTAAGTTGACATGTCTTAATGTTATCTAGCTATCTTCATTTTCCAAAGTTACGCTATTGTGTTTTGATTGAACATTTTTGTTTTAGAGATGTGTTGTGTCCGTGTCTATCCGCACCCTTAACTCTTGACAAGACACACTCGTAGTGACGTCGCCAGACTGCAACAGCGGCGCGACTTGAAAGTAATTTGAATGAACAAACATTTTCTCCCTCTCGAAAGAAGCTTCGAACTCGTTTTCTGGCAGCGCCAAACGTCAATACATCAACAACGCATGTTTGGGTCCTCCATTATGTTTGTCCGTAAACAGGTGAAGGCTGAGTTTCGATTTAAAGCTTTCGTGACTGCAGGGATTCATATTCTTGGTTCTTTCGGTAAAGTCACGTAGAAGGGAAATAATAAAATAATACAAATTAAACAATACAATTCTCACGACGTGTCGATTGCAACACAAGCAATAACCATCAGGTGTGAAAACCACAGCAAGACATTTTTAAAAAAGTGGCGTTTTTTTATTATATTGCTGTGGTTTTCACACCTGATGACGATTGCTTGTGTTGCAATCGAAACGTCGTGAGAATTTTATTGTTTTATTTTTAATTATTTTATTATTTCCCTTCTACGTGACTTTACCGAAAGAACCCAAGAATAGGTGAAGGCTGAGTTGGGTTGAGCGTTCTCCCTCCCCTCCTTGGCGTGAGCTTCCTCCAGGCACCTGGAGTTCCTCCCCTTTTTCGGAAATGAATTCCTTCATACATATCCTCTTTTGAAGGAATGTATGTTCGGTAATGCTTTCTCGGAGTCATTATAATTGTATAACCAATACATATTTTGCTGTGCAACTCATTGTTTTGTTACACACGATCACTAGCGCATACTTCCTTTTTGTTTTACAAATAACATACAATTATACGAAAACAAGCTTGTTATTCAGGCACATTGGTATGTTGCTTTTCATGATTACGTTCAGTTTTCCAAAAGCATCTCCAAACTACCTCGTTCTGGCTCGCCTCTTCATTTCATAATTTGATCCCATGGACGCCTTCAATAACTGCCCTCGGTATACAGAATTAGAATCTGTATTTATATTGGAGGAATGCTATGAGCTGTGAAGCGTTTTTTTTCACAGACGTCCACAGTATATGCATACATAACATA